TTACAAGTGCTAAATCACATATTCTGTACCTTTCTTTGTGTACTTGATCTCTAGGATTCAAAAATTACAATACCTTATTTTTACCTCTCAAATTTCTAATAGGTGTTCTTAAACCCTTATTTTGTCTTCTCAGTTTAACCATCCTATCCAGCTTGTCACCAGCTATGGATTCATTTAGTTGTTCATTTGATTTTTCTCCTTTACTTTTATGATGAACAATGAGCCTTAGGGCAGACCACTCGAACCTTCTTCTAGATCAGTGGTTCCCAACCTTCCTAATGCCGCGACCCTTTAATACAGTTCCTCATGTTGTGGTGACCCCAATTTCATTGTTACAAATTGAACATAATTAAAGCATAGTGATTAATCACAAAAAAAATATGTAATTATGTATGTGTTTTCCGATGGTCTTAGGCAACCCCTGTGAAAGGGGTCGTTCGACCCCCAAAGGGGTCGTGACCCACAGGTTGAGATCCGCTGTTCTAGATTGACACTGATCCATTAATCAGTACTCTTAGTCAGATTATTGAATTAAGTACTCATTCTGGTAGGGCTGCCATAACAAAATACCATAGACTGGTGGATTAAACAACAGAAATTTATTTTCTCACAGTTCTGGAATCTGGGAAGTTAATTATTAAGGAAACCAATTTGATTTCTGGTGAGAACCCTCTTCCTGGCTCATAGACAGTACTTCTTGCCTTGCCCTTATGTGGCAGAGAGAGAGAAAGCAAGCTCTCTAATGTCTCTCTTTTTTAAAAAATACACTGAGTGGCCAGATTATTATGACCACCTGACGTTTGTAGGCAAATTAGCCGTACTCTGCATCATATGGGATATGGAAGCTGAAGGCCTGTTTGAACACCTTTGCTGTCTGCAGTTAGCAAGATAAAACATCTCCAATTCGCACAGGAACACAAAGATTGGACAGTCGAGCATTGGAAAAAAGTCATGTGGTCCAATGAATCACGTTTCCAGTTGCATCATGCAGATGGCGGAGTGAGAATTTGGCGGAAACAGCATGAAAGCATGCACCTCACATGCATGAATACAACCCTTCAAGCTGGTGGGGGCAGTGTTATGGTTTGGAGCATGTTTTCCTGGCATGATGTGGGCCCTTTAATTCGTGTGGAACAACGTCTGAATAGCACAACATACCTAAGTATTGTTGCTGATCAGGTTCATCCTATCTTGTTGATGGCGTATCCCAATGGAGATGGCTTCTTCCAACAAGACAATGCGCCATGCCACAGTGCTCATATTGTGCAGGAGTGGTTTCAAGAGCATGAGGGAGACTTTACCTTGCTTAGGTGGCCCCCACAATCACCAGATCTCAATCCAATTGAGCATTTGTGGGATGAAGTTAAAAGAGCCATCAGGCAGCTGGTTCCACAACCATCAAATCTCACAGAACTGGACAGTGCTATTCATCAGGCATGGTGTCAGATTCCTCGCATCACCTTTCAACATCTCGTGGAGGCAATGCCAAGAAAAATCGCCGCAGTACTGAAGGCAAAAGGTGGCCCAACGGAGTACTGATGGGGTGGTCATAATAATCTGGCCACTCAGTATGTATGTATGTATGTATGTATGTGTATATGTATATGTATATATATGTATATATATATATGTGTGTGTGTGTGTGTGTGTGTGTGTTCAAAGGCTGTTAAATCACATTGTTTATCCATATCTTCAGAAAAAATCACTTCTACTGTCACGGTAAACAACCTGCTTCCCTATTTATAATAGTCTGGTCCTCTAGCAACTTCAGCACGAAATTATAGCTAATTTGCCTACAAACGTCAGGTGGTCATAATAATCTGGCCACTCAGTGTATATGTATATACACACAGAGTATTTTTTAAATATATTTTTTATTGATTTCAGAGAGGAAGGGAGAGGGGGAGAGAGATAGAAACATCAATGATGAGAGAGAATCATTGATCAGCTGCTCCTGCACGCCCCCTACTGGGGATTGGGCCTGAAACCTAGGTATGTGCCCTTGACCGGAATCGAACCCGGGACCCTCAGTCCACCGGCCGACGCTCTATCCACTGAGCCAAACTAGGGCTAATGTCTCTTCTTATAAAGGCACTAATCCTATCACATGGGCCTCATCTCCATGGCCTCATATATAATCTCCAATTACCTCCTAAAGGCCCCATCTCCAAATACCATCACAATGGAACATAACTTTTGGGGGGACATATAGATTTCAACATTTAAAGTTGGGGGACATATAAATTTCAACATATAAATTTGGGGGGGATGTAAACATTCAGTCCATAACAGTACTGATCCACCTTTGTTGTCCTTTCATTCCTTCATTTTGTTGATAGCATGAAAGACCCTGTCACCTGCTGTGCTCAAGTCCATGTAGACTACATGGTGGCCTATATGATCTACCACTTTTTTTTTACTCAGGGCTCAAAAACTTTCCCTTTATAACTAATTTTAGAATCTTTTCCCTCATCCTATACCAACCTTACTAATATGCAGTTTGTAAAAGTCTACCCTCTACTTTATAAAAATTATTTATATTGCCCCTTTCCAGTTTTCGCAGACATACAAGACTACTTCAGCCGAAACCGGTTTGGCTCAGTGGATAGAGCGTCGGCCTGCGGACTGAAAGGTCCCAGGTTTGATTCCGGTCAAGGGCATGTACCTTGGTTGCGGGCACATCCCCAGTAGGAGATGTGAAGGAGGCAGCTGATCGATGTTTCTCTCTCATCGATGTTTCTAACTCTCTCTCTCCCTTCCTCTCTGTAAAAAAATCAATAAAATATATATATATAAAAAAAGACTACATATAACTGACATTGTTTAGCAGCATACAACATCAGCTCCCTAAAATACAATTCAGCTGAAATAAAAGACTTAAACTCAGCTAAGTATAACCTTTGATTAACTCTACTCATCTGAGGCTGTAAATCTTTTTATTCTCCTTAGTCTGGAGCTCATGCTCCCTGGCAAAGAAAACAGTGGTGTACTAAAATCTGGCAAATAACAGTTTTTGTCATCCTCCATCACTGTGACTCCATCAACTTCAAGTAATAGCATATCCATTCTTCAAGCATCTTCTTGCTCCCGACATAGTTGTATTTGCTCACCTTGCTTCCAAATTCCCTACTTTTCAATTGCCTTTTGGATTTTTCAGTTTATGTGTCCCCAAACAACCCCATGTAAATTTTAATAGAACCAACTCATTGTCTTCCCAAGCCAGGTCTTCTTCCTAATTCTTTATTTCTATTAAGAGAATCACCATTCTGAAATGGTCAGGCTCAAACTTTTAAAGTGTCCTGGCCTTTCTTTCTCTATGTCCACTAGGATTACATGTAGTGACTATGACAGAAACCTGACCACTGTGGCTTAAACAATAAGTGGTTGTTTTTCTCTCATAAGAAGTCAAGTGGTGGGCAAGCCAGGACTGGTGCTGCTGGTAAAAGTAGCCAGACTGCTTTTGTCTTCCTCTTCTACCCATTAGCAGGCAGCATTTATTCCTATGGACATAAGATGGTTGTTGCTCCCATAGGGTTGCATCTGACTTCTAGAAGGGGAAAGAGTGAAAAACACTGGTACATGCTAGCAAAGTCTAAAAATGTCTTTCCTGGAAGTCCCTCCCAATAGACTTGTACTTACAGCTCACTAGCTAGATCATGTCACATGTCTACATATAGCTGCAAGGGAGGCTGGAATTTTGGATATTTTAACTGGGCATATTGCTGCATTGAACAAAATATTAGTAAGAAAGAAGGTGAGGATGGCTACTGGGTGGGCAACTAGCAGTGTCTGCCACATGGTCCTTGGACCTCTTTTGAGATAGACATAAAATCCAGACCTTTTTTCCCTTGTTGATAGCAAATGTATTCTTTCCTGAGCATTCCAAACACTATGAATCTGTTGCCCCTGTCACTGCATGCCACTGTCGCTTTAAAGGCCTCCTATTTGAAGCCTGACCTTTCTAGCATGCTGCCTTTATCCCATTGTTTTGTGTGGGGGTTTTTTCTATTACCCACAGGGTAGCTGCAATTTCTTAGGCAGACATTGGAGGCCCTTCATTATGTAGTATCCATCTGTCTTTGCAACCCCATCCTCCACTACTTCAGCACAAACCACCTGCTTCTGTAAACTTAGTCTACCCTTTTTTCCTGGAACAAACTCTGGCCCTTTCCTATTAAAAAGCCATACTTTATACATGTCCTCTTCCAAACTAATAACAATAACAGCAGCAGCAATAATACCTAACCTTTAGTAAGTCTTATGTGTGAGGCCCTATCCTAAGGACTTTCAATATATTTTACTATTAAATTAATAAACACCAAGTTAGATAAATACTATATGTTCCCATTTAAGGAGGAAGAAACAAAGGCTTTGAGAAGCTGTCACTTCTTACAGAGAGACAGCCAACACATGGCAGTTTTCCAAATTACCCATCAATGAAGAGTCAGTTTTGATCCTAAGTCTTCAAGTCTCCCTCCAAACCAAGTGTACAGAGGTCTCGCCCTTCTCTCAATTCCTGCCGTATTTTTAGCATGTGCTACCTCTATTTTTGGTAATACTTTTAAATGTATGTATATATATGTATGTTATTTCCATAACTATAGGAAAGCTCGTGGAGAATGGGGACACTTAGTATCAAATACAATAGCTTATACATAAAAGCATTCAGCAAATGATCAAAGGGGCTGATGACTGATTTTCCACCACAGAAGCCAAGCAGCATCCTGGGGCACAAGAGCATGAGGAGGCGTTGGGGTCAGACTGTGTTCAAGTCTGGAGATAGTTGGGAAGACTTTGAGGACGGTGATTTTGGAACCTCCCAAACCAAGAAACCAAGCATGAGTGTTTTCAGAGAAAAGAGGAGAAAAGATTCTCCATTTCGGTAAGATTTCAGATTCCTCCGGAAAGTATATTTTTATTATGCATCAACCTTATTTTATTCCTTAAGTATAAATGAATGTAGATATTAAAAGATAATAAATAGCTTAAAACTAACTTACCTCTGAAAAGGTAAGACTTGACTTCTCACAGTAATGATTCTCAGTACTGGTGGCTGAGTGCTGTGGGTGGGTGGAGGAAGGGGTTCTTGTTAAATTTTTAGTGTGCCCTCTTGAATTATGATCACCATTATCCCATTTGAAATTCACATGCCTCCTTGCAGAAAGCAAGCATACTCAGACGGTGTCCAGATTCAACTATTTGCTTGCTATTCTAAACTTTTTTTTTTATCATTTCCTGAGCTTTTTCTGGAATTTTAATATCTCTGTCAGTCCCTTTTTATAAGTTGAATAATCATGAGCACTTTATTCAACTTTGAAGTGAGGGTGGGTTAAGTTTTGATGAGCGTTTTGGGAAAATATTTTCTCCCCTCTTCCCCCCGTCTTTGGATCAGAAGAGAAACAGGGAGAAAAGATGTAGTATGAATCAGGGAAATTTATCTAATCACTGTTTGGTATTATATATTGCTGAAATATTCATTTTGGGGTACACATACCTGTGAAGGTGCATGAAGACTCTCTAAGGGGGATACATGCTTGGATAATTCTTTTTTAAATTAATTTTTATTGATTTGAGAGAGAGAGAGAGAAGCATGGATTTGTTGTTCACTTATTCATTGGTTGATTCTTGTATGTGCCCTGACAGGGGATTGAACCTACAACCTTGGCATCTCAGGACAACACTCTAATCAACTGATCTACCTGGCCAGGGTCTGCTTGGATAATTCTTAGAGTTCCATAGTATTCTTCCCTAAAATATATGAGCTGGAGAATAAACCTGCTTAATCTACTTCCCACTTTGCCAGAGTCACCTCTCAGCCATTTCAAATCTTGCATGCCATAAAGGTATAACAACCTGAATGGTGCTAAACAAAGGAAGAAGACTCGCACCTTCAATTAATTCAAAAGGCTTTCTGTCTATCCTTGTGTTATGCATATTTCTAAGAGGAAAAGCCTGTGTTACAAATAGGGTATTTCAGTATGTGTTGGAAAGCATGGAAATTCAGAACCACTTGAAGTACCAGAGCCTAGAGATGCTTTTTGTTTTAAGTGTAGAATGTTTTGTGTAACTGTTATCGGTGGGTTAGTTGCTGTCTGTGTCCCCCCACCTGTTACTGGTAGTGGAGCTCTTGGGGAGCCCCGGGAACAGGAATTTCCTGAGGCTCCCCACGGAGGATGAGGTATCATGCAAAGCTTTATTGATGATACGATATTAAGGGAGTTCCCCTCCAAGGTTTCATTTCCCTCCATCCTGCCATGGAAAAAGTCCAGCTGTCTCTCCAGCATAGCTAGACTTAAAGCCACTGCCCAGAGTCTTGGCTCTAAGCACAGTCCAGTCCAGCATCTGGCTAGCTTAGCCTGTGTACCCAGCTGCAGTCCATTGCATGTGGGGCCTGCATGGCCATAGGCCGTGTGCACAGGTCATGGAGCAAGCAAGAAATAGGAGCATAAGAGCAGGCAACCAAGAGAGAGAATTCTTTGGGGATTATGTATTCCTGAATTTTCATGGGTGTGCATTGGGACCCACCCTCCTAGCCAATGATCTTTGTTCCCAGGTTAAACTGACAGGCAAGCACCTTCCTTAAGTCACCCCAACTTCACTGCACATGCACCCATCTTCCCCTTTGTTTGATTCCTGTCCCCAGTTATTTGCAGGGAATGGACCGGGACGGGGGTATAGTGGGTTCTCTGAGGAAAATAAAGTTGCACCTTTCTGGTGAAGCTGCCTAGATGACCATGCTTATAATGTCTGGCCTCTCCTGTCCTCTCTTTCTATTACTAATGTTAATAAACTAGGTAACAAACTATCTGATTTTTCAAAACCTATGGATATAAATTATACATAATTTTTAAAGATTCAGAGTGTTTTATGTAATAGGGTAGTTAAAATTTATTTTATCAAGTCATACCATGAAATACTCCAATTATGGTCAATCCTCATAATCTATACTAATAAAAGAGAAACATGGTAATTAGCATACGACCGCTACCCTTTTCATTGGCTAATCAGTGAGTATATATGCAAATTAACTGACAACCAAGATGGCGGCCGGCAGCCATGCACTGAAGCGAACATGAGGCTTGCTTGCTCCAGTGACTGGCGGACTCCAACATTCCCCGCCTGCTGCTGCCGGCCTCTGACCTGGCAGTTTGAAACATTGTAACAAATATAGAAGCTAAACAAAACCCCAGAAACCAGCTTAAGCCGCCGGGATCTCAGAGCTGGAGTTATACATTGTTTCAATTATAGAACGCAAACAAACCAGATACCTGCTTTCAGCAGGTGGAAGCCTCAGAGCTAGAGCCAGAGCTAAAGCTGGCCCAGAATAAAAAAAAGAAAAAGAAAAAAAGGAGCGGTTGGGAGCTTCAGTCAACTGCCAGCCTGAAAGCAGCCCTCAGCTCCTCACCCAGACTGGCCAGGCACCCCAGTGGGGACCCCCACCCTGAAGGGTGTGTGACCAGCTGCAAACAGCCATCATCACCTCATCCAGGCTGGCCAGGCACCCCAGTGGGGACCCCCACCCTGATCCAGGACACCCTTCAGGGCAAACCAGCCAGCCCCCAGGCCTCTATCCTATATAGTAAAAGGGTAATATGCCTCCCAGCACCGGAATCAGCGGAGCCGCGAGGCCTCCTGGCACCGGGATCAGCGTGACAGGGGGCAGCGCCCAAACCCCCTGATCGCCCTGCAGCTCTGTTTGTGACAGGGTGCGGCGCCCCAACCCCACCCCCTCCCCCCACAGGCCCTGCTCTGTGTGTGACAGGGTAGAGCCATAACCTCCCCATCGGCCCTGGCCCTGCCGTGAGTGTGACAGTGGTGGCGCCCCAACCCCCTGATCGGCCCTGCTCTGTGTGTGACAGGGGCGGCGCC